ATCAAGCTCAGTTTCTCATGGATGTGGATTGCATTTGAACAGTATTAGGTGGGAACCTAGCTCAGTCATGGATGTTAAAAGCCACTCTCTCTCTGGAGAACACACATATGGAAAAGCACTTAGATTACTAAAAATTTGCATATTTACTTGAAGGAGAGTGGCCCAGCCCTCACCACAGGCTGGGCTAAGCAGCTAACAGAGAAAACATTGCTGCATGAAAAATGTGCTCACAATTGAAGTAGTTCTACCTCTGTATGTGACAGAGATTGTATGTTCTCCATAGGGTCCTTAATGATCATTTGCCAGGTGAATGTCACAAAAGTGCAACCAAGTCCTGCTGTGCACTCCCTAGGGCAGGGAACCCTTCACAACACATTATCTTTAAGATGCTCATTATATCAGTTTCTTTCCTTTCCCTATAATTTTGCCATGTAGCTTTCCAAAGCAATTTGCATCCATGAAAGATTTAAATGAATAGACACTAACCATTTAAATGTATGACAAAAAAAAAGAATTTGACCTTTCTGACTTCAGCCCTGAAGAAGTTGTGTCTCACCTAAAATCTGCATCTGTGCATACTCTATAGTTCATGGATAAGACAGGTATCTCCTAGAGGGTTATTAATCTCATGTCTTGCACAGCTGCATCCACCACTAGAGGAAAATCCTGGTTCCCCACACATCTCATTGACTTGACCAGATAGTCCATCAGCACTTTAAAAGCCTTTCCTGGGAAAGGCATTACTAGGACTGCTGTGTTCCCCAGGATGCTGTGGTCCTGTTGAATCAGTACTTTCCAAAGAAAAAGTAGTTTGTGAAAATAAAATCCAGCTCCCCTCACTTAGGCCTTTCCTGACAATGAATTAAATCAGCAAACCTCTACAAATATTGTTTCCATTTAAAACAATTTTTAAAGGGTATTAGCAGTTCAGAGACAGCTACCTCTAGTAAAAAACATCAGCCACCAGCCTGCATCCATTGCTGATCTTTTCTGCATCCCAAACAAAAAAAGCCTCGCTCAAAAAAGCAGCGGCAACCTCTTTGCAATGACCTGCAACAATTAATTGGATTAATACATTTACTGGTTATTCTGAACAGCTAAACAAAATGTGTACTGGGTCATTTCCAGGTTAAAAAGCTGGAGTTTGGAAGCAAGCCCTTAGCAACTTTCTCTTGATGGTAATGGCTTAGTTTCAAAGAAAACCAAAGAATATGCAACTGCTGTGTTATTCAGCAGAGATCTGTAGGTGGCAAACCCTGGAAACAAGGTATCCCAAGAAGCTGTGGACTCTCTTGCAGGCCTTCTGATCTGAACTACACCAGGCCATGAGCCACCTGCTCAGCTCTGAAGTCTGACTTTGAGCAGGAGACTGCACTACATGTCCAGAATGTCAGAGGTCCCTCTCAGTATTATGTTTCAATGATCCTATAAGATCTTGAAAAATGGATTTATGTTTTTTGATACACACTCTCCAAACTGAGTTTGTCATGGTGGATGAGGCAGCTAACATTAAGTATAAAAGTACTTGCTTAAGTAAATTGCTTTTCCTTCACCTCTATTTACACTTAAATTTTTTCATTGCTGCAGGGTGGTGGTGGTGGTTGTATATAAAATAACTTCTCAATATGAGAACTGGAAGTTTTAAATTTTTTTAACCCATAGAACTTCATAAATATGCAAGAAAATATATTTCTTTGAGCTTTTATGTTGGACTATAACATTCAGCTCAAGGATGGAGACCTTAAATAATTAAATATCCTAATTTAATGGTTATATACTGTAAAATTTTCTAAGATAGGTCTGTTCTGTCCGTATTTGTACTATGAAGCCCTGACTTTTCTGTCCCTACAGGAGCTTTTGTAACACAAGTTAAATAACATTCCAAATATTCCAGCCCGGTCACACAGAAGCCGACAGTTTTCAGCAAGGGTTGCAGAAGGCTTCAAGATTTCTGATTTGTAATAAGTCTATTCAGAGCTGTGTATGATCTCACCTCTTTGTGCTCTTTTTCTGCAATCAAGATAAAAAGCATAGGCACATACATGTTCTATAGCCTAGAATAAGTCAGTGAAGCTGAGCAGTTCAAGCTTCCTCCCCTGTTTTTTAAGTAACCAAAAATCAACAACTAGACATTGTTCCTGGGCACTCTTTTGGGCTCCCATGTTCTGGGATGTTTCCTTGCTAAATGTCAGACAAGGGATAGACAACTACACGTGAGCTATTTTAAAACACCCTTAAAAACCCCTTATAATTCAATGGTGATAAAGTACTTTAAAGAAACAACTTATTTTTTTTCCTTACCATTTTTAGTGGGTTGACACTGGCTGAAAGGCATCAATGCCAGAGATCCCTTCTCTGCACCAGCTATATGTAACAGTCCAGACACGTGCTCCTGTTTAGGTGTCTACCCCATGCTGATCTTTCCCAGCACTTCTGCTAGTCTTAAACCATGAACTACCCCTCCCAACAGATTTTTCTAACATATCAACTGTTTCTCAGCTCAGAAACATGATGAAATAAGACCTTCCAAGAGTGGCTGGGACAGAGACACTTTGGTTGATTTTGCAGTACGCTGGCATACAAGAGTACAATTTTCCATAATTCTTGATGCTTTTTCCCATGCTGTCTGAACTTGCAATCATCTGCCACACAGAAGGAAAAGAAAGAAGAACTTGAAATCATAAATGGTTTGACAACACTAATGCCTCAATGTCATTAAACTGGAATCCCTTAAGCATTTTTCTGACCTAGTTTTCCTATTTCTGTTGTGAATTACCAGACTGCAGACAACCTTTGTGACCCTAGACTCAGAATCAAGGGATAATCCCTAAATGTTACCAAAAGACTGGTGCCTCTGCATGTTCATCTTGACATATGAAAACAGGGACAGGCTTTCATGAACCATAAAAAGTGAGGTGTCTGAAATCACTGGGGTTTTTTTCTGAAATCTTAGAGCATAGCCAGCTTACCTTCTTGGCACATTTGCACACCAAAATTTCCTCATTGTACCAAACAGAAAGCGATCTTGATTCTGTTTTTTGCCTCATTCATTCCCTTTTACATTTTTGTGCTGTGCTACAGCACTGCAGTACAGCTAAGAGGACCACTACAGCAAAAAAAATAAATACTCTTGCTTCTTTCTTTGACCAAACCCTTGCTCTCAACACACCACCACTCACTCAGGTTTGAGTCCATCCGTGGAATTTGAAAGAAAGCTACAACCACTTTCAGTGCAGCATACAAGCAGAAACTACACTACAGATTACCTATGGGTTCAAAATCCCACAACAAAACTCTTTGTGACAGAGAAATTCTCCCCTTTCAGACTAGATTTAACAGCCTGGTGCAATTAAAGATTAAAAAAAAAAAAATAGACTGTGTAGCAAGAAAAAAATAATTTCCACCTTTCTTAGTTCCATCACAGTGCCAAGGTTTGTGTTATTCATCTCTGCCTCGAAGGCATCTCTGTCAGAGCAGAGGGATGCCTTTCCCTTGTCCTTTCTGGGCCCAGTCTCCTGAGACATAGACTTCAATAAAAGCTATTGATACTCAGCAGGAATGGACTTTTGTTAACAAGTGGTGAAGAAATACAATCCTAAAACTAGTAACTTTGCTGCCAGCTAAGCGAAGGCATTAGCAGACTGATTCAATATATTCAGGGGAGCTGCATTTGAAGTGCCAGTCTACTGGGATCTCCTACCTTCCCCAAAACCACACATTTGATTCTAATCACCCTTCTTAGCTGCTTCTCAGATTCCTTCCTCCAGTCATTTGTAAGGTAAATTCAGCAGTGAAAAAGCTACATTTCACTCCTTGCATTTCATCTGCTGTTCTCAGCAATTTCATGGATGTCCCTTTTATTGGTTTTGCTGTCACTGAAGTCTCCAGCAATTCCTTCAAATTCAAGGCTTTGGCTTAGTCTCCATGCCCCTTGGCTCACTTATGACTTTCAACAGTTCCCACTCAACACAACATCCCAATTCATACCATCTACTCTCCTCCTGCTACTTCAATGCCAGAGTCTTGTCTAATGATTCTTGGTACACTCCTCTATAAAGCACCACGACTTCTCCATTGCTTCCTCCCTTTCCATCCATCTCATTAAGTCTGGGATGAATGCTATCAGTTTTGTTTAGTTCGTTTCCCGAGGGAGTACATTATAAGGCTGCTCTGTTCTGTGTGAGTGGGATGCAGGAAGGGAGGGTCTCTGCCTGCCTGTTCCCAGCTGTGCATGCTGCAGGGGGTGGAAGTCACTAGTGGGAGAGGAAGACTGTTCCCTCCCCAAAAACAGTGGGCTATGCTAAAATGGGAAAAACCTTCTGAGCCACAGGGCACGCAAAAGACAGATGGGAAGGATGGAGGAAGCAAGGTGAGCATCCTAGAGCAACATTTAGCCTTGGCCTTCAACACTTCCAGGGATGGAGCACCTACAGCTTCTCATGACAACCTGTTCCAGTGCCTCATCACCCTCACACACATCCTTAGAACAGACTAGATTACATCTCTATTTAATCTGTTCCTATTCAGAAGTCTGTGTAAGCAGAGGTAACTGTGCCCTCGTCACTTTTAACATCCCTCAGTCAGTATCTGTAAAACCTCCATATTCTCACCTTCCTGGACATGGAGGCTGTACCCACACACTGCCCTATTTATCCCTGAAAGACTAGTTCTATCCATGGAGACTCTCACGCAAATTTCAGCAAACGCCACTCTCTCTCCTCAACTCCAGAACCCTCCTCTGCCATGAGTAAACTGAAATGTGACAGGTGTGATCATGTACACGTAGCCATCTCAGTCCTTCCACTCTGCACATTGCCCCTGTAGAACTGAAGGTGGGCAGGCAGCAAGACACCTCCATTTAGGGGTCTCTGCATAGATGTCCAGGGATGCCCCAGCTGTGTACACTGCCATTATGATCCAGATCCAGTCAATACAATCACTGGATAATGATTCAGTTATTGTTGAAGTCAACACCTAAGGCACAACCCACTTGTCACAAACATTGCACAGACTTAATTGTCTTGTGTCATAGTCCCTAGAATACCCCTCCTAGCTCCCAGCTGCCTGTCCAGAAGGCCTTGGAGCAGGCCTCCTACAAGCCTGTACAGCACCTATGAGTCCATGAAGATGTCCCAGATCCTCTACAGCACATCTCAGAAGCCATTATATGTTCAGGTAATAGAATTGAGCCCATACTGGTAAACAGCTGAACCTCTGCTCCTAAGGCTTTGCTGACCATACAGGCTGAAAGCTCTGTAACACAGTGGGTGTCTTCACCTCGGCCCACCTCACACCTGCTGCATCCAGGATGCACTGGCAGCACTTACTGCTTTGTGGTTGACAAAGTAATTCAGGAAGTATCAACAGCAAAAAAAAACATTTGCCCTTCTTTCATTTCACTATGCAAATATTTACCTGCTAATCTAAAAATCAAGATGGACATTTTCTAAGGGTCCATCCTGTACCTTGCTCATTAGATGAACAGGATGTGGAGCTTTGCCCTCAATGGCAGCAAACACGCGAAGCTGCCTGTAGAAAAGGGGAAATTCTTGCAAATATAGCATGATAAATAAGTCACTTATATTTCTTTGCATGAATGGATTCATTATGTGCAGCTGTTCAGTGCACATCTACAAGATTTTATGGATGAAAAAGTCACATTATTACTGTGTTATCTGACCAGAAATGAAGCATGGACTAATGCCATCACGGAAATTAAATAATTAATTAAAGCATCCTGTGTTTTTGAGTTAGAACCCCAGGTGAATCTCAAAGATACATGCAATATGAGCAGGAATATATCTTGAAGATTCTAAATTACTCCTGTGATTAATAACAACTAATGAGAAAATAAAACTGAATTTTTCATCATACGTCTCTATAATATACTTTAATCTGCTTTGGCAATTTTACTACAGCATCCAGAAAATCACTTTAAACTGTACCCTAATAAATCTCCAATACAAAGAAAAAAAAAAACCAAACACAAGCACAAGCTATTTCATTACAGCAAACAAGGAAATTAAGCATCCATGGCAATTTTCTGATTTCATTTATGTCTTGGATTAAAAAAGGGACTCATGTGAGTACTTACACTGGCAACTACAGGAAAAAAGCTAATTATAAATTGTATCTCAGTACTTTTTTTGAGTTTTATGACAAAGAGCTCCTTATTTTCAAATCTTACTGCAGCAGAGTACAAAAGTTGTCTTTCAGATACTGCTGACATCCGTGCAAGTCAGACAGAACAGTAGCTCAGAGGCATATCCATGTACTAGCAAGGACTCAGACCACCACCACAGCCATGAGCTTTCTAATTTCTTCAACAACACATTTAGACATGGTCTAAATAGCAAGATATTCCCTGGGCCAAAAAATACCACAAACACTGCAAAAGCGGTGCTAAGGCAAGGCAGCTAATGAAAAAAAAGTGCTTTATGGCCTGTAAGACTAGTTAATCAGTAAGCTTTTTCTTAGGAGAGTCACACTTCAGGGAATATTCTCCCCACTTTCATGGCACAGTGGGAGCCAGGACAACTGGGAGTCCCCCACCAGGGCAGGGCTACCTTCCTCAGACTTTCTTTGATTAGTCTATTATGCTATTTCCTGTTGAAATACACCATTTCCACGGGAGAGTGAGTAGGAAATACTTTTTCTGTTAACAATAGCCTGAACCTGGCAATAGACTGAAGATTCCAGTCAACAAATGGTGTATACACAGAAAAAAAAAATAAAAAAAATTGAAGCTTTATTAAGAGTATAATGCTGTATTATCACAATGATACAGAGTTAACTTGTGTGCATCCTGTATCTGACGCTTAGGTGCCTCATCAAAAGACAAAGAACATAAATAGAAAAAGCCTCCTTTACAGGTACCCAGCTCTGGCTTGCAGCAGAGCATTTGGGTTTGCAATACTTCTATTTCTCTGCTTATTTTGGCATTTGGTGATTCTGGGTAGGCCTCAAAGCACAGTCATGGTGATACTGCACAACAGGGTAAAGAAAGGTGCTATGAGGACAGCCTCCAACTACAGCACAAGACAAAAGAGCCAGCAACTTTCTTTCCAAATCCATGAACAGTGTACATGGCAAATTAGCCCTACTTGCTCCCTGGCCATCTTGGTATTGTACAAGATTTACAGGACTTGTTCATTGTTGTGAGTGCCTCCCAGTTGCATGCAACAGGTTCACTGACTGACTACCAAATGCTCCAGTTAACCCAGGCTCAATCTAGGAAAGTGCCAAAACAGCAATTCTACTGAAGGCAATAAATCCAGTAACAAGGCTTAAAATTAAGATGATGTCTAAAGGGCTTTTGGATTCCTTCCTATTAGAGCTTCCTATCATCAGCTAAAAAAAACAACAAACCTCAAACAACTGCTAAATCAAAGCATCCAATGTGATCAGAATTCTACTACACAGTATTTTGTTTCCATAACACAAGCCATGGCTGAAAACGATACTAATTATGGCACTAGTACAGCTGTATTAATTATAGCTGCATTAATTAGAGCAAATTCCTGTAATTTAACTAGGTTGGCACTTAGAAGTGCTTGTTCAATTATGATACATTTCAGACCTTTGTCAATTTTTTTCTCAACACGTTGGTGAACTTTTAAGTTAGTGCTGTGGGGCTTACACAGGTACCCATTCCAAGGAGGTGATGTTTCAAAAATGTTATGTCTTCAGCTGCCCTTGAGTTATCAAGGGACCTAATAAAACTGCATAGAGGGCAGAGCTCAACCTGTTCTACCTATGATCTGCTGCAGCCCAGGATTTTGTCTCTCCTTTTGGGCCTGCCCTGACAAATGTCAGTCTACAACATTCCAAACTGCTAAAAAAATTCTTTTGAACTCAAAGTGGTAATTTCAACAGCCACCAAAAAATCCCAGAACTTCCCTTTACAGGTTACATGAAAAAGAGCAGGAGAGAGAAAACCTCTGGGTCACAATTTCTGAAATCCTTGGGATCTGCCAAGCTTTGAATTAGCCAATGCTCTTATTAGAAAAACTCAACACTGCAAGACATTTCCTGTGCAAGAATGGGGTAAAGTGAGCAGGAGCCAGACCTCAGCACTTATCTCCTTATGCACAGCCAGCATCTTTTTAAGATCTTTATGTTTCAATATATTCATCCCAGTTCTGAGTTAGCAAGCAGCTAACAGGCTCCTCTTAGCAACTGGAGACTTTGGTACATACTTGAAGCATTTAAGGTCTAGTAACACTCTATATCTTAATAAGGAACTGCATATAATATCTCCAGAAATATAATTAAAATTTTAAAACCTTTGAATATGTAAATAGATATGAATAACAACATATATAACAACGTACTATTTCATTAGGATCAGTGTTGTACATAGGTATATAGTCTCAGACGAATTTTTAGCTAGATTACAATAACTCAAAAAGACAGAAAACAGAAGACTCTCACTTTTAAATGGCACATAGCCATAAACTAATCTAACCAGATTTTGGGAAGATGTGATGATTAAGTGTCATGGTCTACAAGAACATGCATTAACAGGAAACTCTGTGCATGAGCATATATGTATGCATGCCCATGTACGATACCTGAATTCGTTTAACAAAATACATCTATACAAGAGAAAGCTAAGCAAAAATACAATCCCAGGCTTGACTGAAGAGGCAGCAAAGAGGCTAAAGCTGTAGAAATAGGATGACATGCAAAATTATTTTACCTCCAAGTAAATTGTCAGGCAAGGGAAAACTCACTAATAAATATTGTTACTGATAACGCTCGACAAACTTTGTTTAACAAAATAATGACACAAATGTAAAGAAAAGTATGCTGTCTCAAGATACTACTGGTCTGAGACAAAATATTGATTGTAGTAAAGTTTGAGACATAAATTGCCTACATGTGGCACACAGCCTACATGCACATTGATTAACCTCCTATAAAAAACATCCAAAAACGCATTTCCTGCACGTCAGACAAAATGCACATCACAGGACATTCAGAACAGCATCAGGGATCCAGACAATCATTTACATGCATCTCAGTAGGCATTTGGTACCCTACTCCTTTATATTATAAACCACTTACAACAATGTACATTAACCAGAGGACAACAACACAGACATCTGTCTACTGTAGCCCTGATAGTCAGCTTTAAGTACAGCACTTAATACACCACTGATGATGTGCTGTCTGAGCCACCAAGAGCAGCTGTTAACTGCTGGCATGGCAAGGAAGCAGCAGATATGGATATACCACCTGCTGGTCTGCTCTGGTTTAAATACATGTAAAATTGACATTATGCCCTGAGTGACCCAGAGCTATTATTCACCTGTGCTGCCTGATAGCTTAACACTGCTTTTGATTTGAGCTGCATTGCACTTAAGGGAAGATAAGAATAGAACTCCCTATGCCACTAGATATAAGTAAAAACTATAAAAAACCCTAAAAACTAGTTTATACTATTGTAATCATGTAAGTTACATGGCCAGGCTCCCTACCAAAATTCATTTCTGGCATCTTCTGAATTGGCAGCACAAGCCACTTATCACAGTCAACTACACAAAAGCCTTCAGGTCACTCTAGCTTGCCCAAAACCACACAAAACTTCAGCTATTATAACACTCTCCCCCAGATGAAGCCTAAATGTAGCACAGCCATTACTTAAAGCAGTAATGGGGCAAAATTTAATCGACCGGAATTTGTTCGGGGATAAAGTCTGTGCAAAGAAGGATGATTAATGCTCTTCAATCATAATACAAATTGGAGGCCCACAACTCCAGGAGCAAAAATAATTCACATTAACTGTTTGTAAAGGAGAGCTGGCTAGGTGATTTATCTTCTATGATCAAAATAATATACTGAGTTTTTGCTGTGTTACAATCATTAAATTTCCCTCATTGCTGGAAAAAAAAAAAAAAATATAGAATCTGATGAACTGGAATTTAATTGCAACACAAGGCCAGTCAGGTTTTCCTGACTCAGATCATACCCAGATCTCATAGACTAACTGTGGACTCATTTCCATTTATTTATCTGTGTCACTGACACTTGTTGATTGATACAGAGGAAAAAAAAAAGAACTGAATATTAGCACATGCTGTCTCTCCCCTGCAAAATGAGAAGAACCCAGCCCATTCCCACTCCCTCAGAAACCCAGAAGCCACAGCACAAAATTATGGGTCAGTACAATGTGAAAAAACTCTTTATAATCCTGCCACCAGTAAAACTCCAGAGAAATTTAATCTCAAAGTCTGAAGAACAGATCACCGGAAACAGTCAACTAACAAATAAATAATTTCCTATCAGCATCAGGGAAGTTAGTGCTTTGCATCCCAGACATTTATTACCACATCAGAAAAGGAAAAACTACAATTTGGATTTTTAAATTTTTTTCTTTACTTCTGTAAATAGCACTAATTAAATGAAAATAGAAGAAAAGTTTTAAAGGATAGTGTTCTCCTTTTTTGTCTTCAGTATAAATGCCAGCAATTCATTAAAGAACATGTGCAGGGAACCAGAGCCAAAGCATTCCTAAAATGGAAGTAAGTGAACAGGAGCTAAGGTCTAGTAATTATATAGGACAAGGAACCCTTTCACCTTTCCATTTTATGGACCATTTTATGACTTTGGCATTACATGGGATGCTGCTAAAAGGAAAAGAGAAGGGATTATAACTACTGCATCAACCCAAGTAATGTACATAATACTTAAGCCCTTATTTTCTCTCTGCTTACTATCCTCTGGTGACTAAAACTCTCCTGGTTCTGAATTCCCTCCAGGGTGTTTGCATGGAGCTGTACATATTAAAATCAAGCCACCACATACTGCACAGACTTCCAAGCAATACTAAGAGATTGCTTTACAAACTGTAACTTCAGCTGAAAAAAATGGATAGGACACACTGAAACTTTCTAGTGACAGAAGTACTGCCCTGCAGCATGGGTAGCATCAAAGCCTTCTTCCCCCAATGACTGGCCTATGTAAATATTTACTATTTAGTTTAGCTATAATGTTTGCCTTAGTAAACAAACTATTAATATCTCCATTTTTAAAGATTACAGAACCATGAAGAAAGGGAAGAAAGATACTGAACACAAGCTTCTTCTCTGAAAGCACCAGAAAAAGCAAAGAGCTCTGGTCAGAGATTAAATATGTTGTACTCTCCTGACCCAGATGTTACTGGAAGATTTTTTTTTATTGCTCCAGAGACTACCTTCAATTGTTACAACAAAAGCACCACCACTGAATATATCAATTACATTTAATTTTATACTGCTACATGCCTAAAAAAACCCCAAAAAGTTAGTTCTAACCAGTGTAACACCATAATGGTGGGGACCAAATAAACCAAATATAGCCAGAATATAGCCTGAAAAACTATGACTATCAAAGTAATAAACATCAGAGGAGACAACCCTTTGGGGGTTCAGACAGAGCTTTCAACCACATTTCAGTAGATAACATCAAGCTTATTTGTCCAAGCTACTGTTTCACACCACACTGGATGTCTGAAAATTTCATTGTTAAAAATTGCCTGCTGGAAAAACACAGGACTGTAACACTAACTGTTATTAAAAGCTATTGTTATTGAAGACATGATGTTGATTTTCACAGATGAAAATTTCATTTTGCTTGTCCCACATTTTGGAGGTTTGTTAGTTGTAGCCAAGCCCAAGTCAGGAGCCAAGATGACAGCAAGGATCTCTTATTGCATATTACAAGGGCAGTTCAGAATAAAGTGATGTAGTTGATGATGTTCCTGCTCATTGCAGGTGAGTTGGACCAGATGGTGCCTTTAGAGCCCACTTCCAACCCAAACTATTCTTTTAAAATGCATGCTTGTATATTGCAAACTTGTTATTTTGAAAGGGATTAAGTACACTAATTTATAACCTTCCAAAACTTTATGACCTATACAAATTAACACGTCCTGAATTAAGAGGTCAAAATTCAAATGAAAAGTCTTTTTGAGATATAAGAAAGCTACAAACTTTGGGAAGTTATCTTTTTTTGTCCCTTGCAGGTACTAAAACTTTTAGGAAAACTGAAATACATACTGAAAGATTATTTCTCTGCAAGAACATGACCTATGAATAAAGAGTTAAATTTTCAAAGTCAGAAAAGACATCAAGATGCCTGACTCTCAGTGAAAGTCAACAGGAACTCAGTGCCAGATTGTCATTTATGTTTTATTCTAATGAAAAGCAAGAGCTTAATTATAGGCCATCATGGAGCATCCTCAACATTCAAACTGACTTTAATGAGGGGAGGAGGAGAACTGTGTGGTTGGGCTTTTTAGTTGAAACTGCCACCCCCAAAAACAATAAAAAAAAACCCCAAAAAAACAAAACCCAAAAAAACCCCACAATAAAACACACCCAGCAAAGTGTTGTGTACAATGCAAACTAATTATTTTCATGGGAAATTTAATTATTGTGACCCAAATGGGTAACAACTGTCACCTGATCAGAGGGACTCTGCCCTCCCCAAATCGATTGAGCCCATGAACACTAAATTGAATTCTAGCGGCTGCAGTGTGCAGCTGACCTCCCACTCATTAGGAATCGTGCTATAACCAAGTGTCTGTAGTTAAGTACTTCTGTGAGACTATCAAGGTCCAATATTCACAGGAAAAAAACATATTACTGAACTTGGTTTTCTGCCTCTCCCTGCAAGCAAGCAAGCAAAAGTGGGCAACATCAGACCTTTGTCACTCTCTTTTCTTTTCTCTGACATGCTATGAGCAAACCACAAAGCCTGAGTTCCTGCACTAACACAGAGCTGGCAGCACCAGCTCTCAATTCCAGTCAATAGGCAGGCAGGCCTCTCTAAAGTCCCTGCACCAACCAATTTGAGATGCATGAGCTCCTGGCAGCAAAATAATTATTTCCTCAGAGGTTCTTATTGTCTCTAGCACGCCATGAATTCTGTTCAAGTTCAATTCAATTTATCACTCTACATTACTAGCAGCAGCTGACATCATGGGTGCAATTGTAAAAGAAAAGGGAAATTATTTCTGCCCTCATACATTTAGATTCCCTTCCCCCCAATAAGTGCAGTGAAGGGAAAAAGCTTTGAGCAATCTGAAATCACAGAATGACTCTTTCTATAAAAGCATTGCAATTGTCCAGCAAACCTCTCTATCTACCACCACTGAATAATATCAGGTACCAGAGAGACCTGAAAGGGAATAAGGAGAGGAAATATGACCTGCAAAAAGGTAGCAATTTTAGAGTACAATGTTGTTTTTTCCCCTCTAATATGCAGCACATTCTTAGGCTTGATACAGGTGAGATGCTGACTGTCTGGCCCCTCTCAAGCAGAGCATGGCAGTGTGTGCTACTTACTAATCACAGCCTGGCACAAAATAAAGTGTTCTGCTGAGGGAAGACCTAAGTGCCTGCACCTCACAGGATGGAGCTCACCTGCCTTCATGTCACGATCCTGATACACTGCATGACACATAATTTTTTCTTGGATTTTTTTTTTAAATTAAGTGGAGAGTAGTTGCCTTAATGAGTACTTCACAAAAAAAAACCAACAAAAAACAAAAACAACAAAAAAACAAGACTTCTTTCACAGGATGTGTTAACCTGCATCAGTACAAAACTATTTCCCCTTTGTGCACCATCAATATTTGACTCCAAAAAGCAGCTCAAACTCCATTTCAACAGAAAAGGATTCTTTTAAAATAGTAATTAAAATAGTAAACTTTACTATTTTTTTTCCAAAGGAATCAAGTAACTTTTCAGATGTTTAGATGAAAACAAATGCTTTTTCATGAAATCAAAAAATTCTGTACTTGCCCTTGAAATCCTGTAACCTGTTTGACAATACAGAAACCTTTCCAAATGGTGTAAGCATTCCCTGCCAATACAGGAGATGGAGGGGGGTTAAAAGTGACAAGACTGAATTTGAATCACCACTGAAAGGGAAAAGAGCAACACATATTTCATTCAGTGTGCTGAAACCAGCAGTGTGAATGGCACAACCCCACTGGCAAGCAGCTGCAGCCCAGCTCTTCTCCCTGGTGCCCACTGGCAGGAAAAGGGGAGGTGGGCTCCTACTCAAGCATCTTACAACAGTTTTACTGCAAGAGACACTTATTCCAACACTGCAACAGGCTGCCCAGAGAGGTTCTGGAGACCTAACAGTATAACAGGCTTATGTGCTGACCCACAGTATTATTAAAATTTGATCAAAGGATAAAAAATTCTCATTATCTTTCAATACTAGATATTGTCACAAGTGGCACAGAAATTCTCTTCTGTTAGGAAATTAATCTCCATGGTTTTAGAAACTTCAAAGATGCTTCATTATTGATTGCCTAAGCTAACTTTCCATGTCTTGAAGGCACTTTTTCTTTTTTTCACATTCACTCTGGACAGATTCTTAAGCAGCAGCTTTGCCTGAACACAACAAGTTTTGATAGCCTAACAGATGTCCACCCTGACTCTGTATTTAACATTACAAGCTAAAACACTAAATCCATAAGTACTTGAATGCTTGTCACTTTGAATCCTGCATGACTCATCCTTCAAGGCAGCCTATGGCATTCCAAACTGCCAAGTATTCCTTTGCCACCCTGAAATTCCCTCCTTTGCTGCATGTTTTCCAGTTTCTGATCCGTGGACTGGGTTGAAAAGGCAGCAGCCACCACAAAGCTGCAGCACAGTACCCAAAGTGGTCCTGAGCAAATCCTTCTACTTACTGACGGGGTAGGGAAATTGCAGCACATGCCAATATTATCAGAAGCTCTGCTCTAGAAAGGGGAAGCAAATTCAGCTTACAGGTCACTCATTCTGGCAACTGAGATCTCCTTCATAAGTAACTGTAACGTGTGAAATTCCCTCTCCATGTGAGTGTTTGCAATTAATCATTTAATTTCCAATAACAAACTGCAAACCCAAAATGTCTTCACTGACCATCCTGCTATGCTGCTAAGGTTTACTGGCACAGTGGGAACTTACTCATCTGCCATCTGGGCTAATGAAGTTACTGAAATTGTTGTCATTCTCTTGACGGATCACCACTGCAAAGAGAAAACGCTCTCTGCCATGAGATTTCAAGTTAGATGGAAGCTCAGCAGTGATGAGATCCAGAAAATCATGTCCTCTTCCAGACCTGGACAACAGTACTGTCATGCCATGCTTCTGCCCACACTGTTCCCCATATGTTTTCTGGAAAACATAACTCCTCCTATACTCTTACCCTTGCCCTGTGCCCAGCGTCCATCTCCTCCTTCCTGCTGTTGGATTCTTCTCCTTTCCCATGCTCACACATATTTTCTGATTTGTCATTTTCACACAAATCTGCCCAAAACGTTATCACCTCTGAGCAGCATAGTCTATCTCAGACTCACCCTCATCCTAGAAGAAAAAAAAAGTTTATTCCTGTCTTCACATCCTCTCTACATGTGAGAGGAGGCCAGGAAAAACATCACCCCAGGGCAGAAACAAGCATCATGCCAAGGGGACAAATGTCAGGCCCCCACCACAGGCAGAGGCAGCCTCCCCAACCAACACACTTTCAGAGCCATTCTAATGTACATTCAGCCTTGTGGAAGCTCTGCCTGCTAAAAAAAAACACCCTTATCTTCCCCTTCTCCTTCCCATGCTCTGGTCTAGTCAGAGCAAACAGAGCTTGAGTTGAAGGAGTGGAGCAGAGTTCAAATAGTATGGGAATTCACAGGAGGAGGGTGACAGGAAGCTACAGGACAATCTTAAGGTCAGGAAGTCTTAGGTATACCTGGTAATAATATAAAGGAGATATACCTGAATTTTTAAAAGTAAGTGGATAATCCCTTAGTATGAAGGGGGGGGTGCTACATACTCATCAAAGCCAGACACATAGGATTCTGCATTGCTATAGAAAAGAAAATCAATCCCTTCATATTTCTTCCTTTCAGTAGTTACATAATTAGCCATTAGTACTACAGTTCATTAAAAACAAGCAGTAAAATTAAATACAGACAAAACCAAAATTCATATATGCTGTTGTAGTACATATTCTTGAAGTAGTTAGTAAGGCCATTTCTCAATTTACACAAAGAAGCTGGGAAATACCCAATTTCCCACCAAATCGAGGCTTTTTCTGTATCACTTGAGTTTAGTCATAGCCAGGCCCAAAATTTGCAGAGATAACCATATAACAAAGCAAATTTATGTCACAGATAAGTTAATTTGTAGTTGAATGTTATGAAAGAATTTTATCCTGCAAATAAAAATAAAATTATGAATACATAAGCATTCTTGAGCCAACAAGACCTTATGAAAGAAAAGCAGACAATCCAAGTATTTAGACTGAAAACTAGCTGCTTTCTGAAGAATAAAAGTTGTACTTTTACTACATAAGGAAAGAATTAAATAAATTAATGTCTTTAAAAAGTTAATTTGAAGATTTGGGGCTATTCTTACTGTTTGTAAAGCCAGAGCAATGCAAAGGTACAAATCTGACTCCAAGCTAAACTGGATCTCCATCAAATACTGAGTTTTCTCTCTATTATGTTATGTATACACACACTGTAGTTCTCCAGATTTATTTTTTTTTTCATTCAAATAAGCCTAAAAAAAGACAGTAAGAAAAAATAAAATCTAGGAAATACAATAAATTCCCAGAACTGCAAGATGGAAGATGTATAAACCCATAACCCTGCAAAATCTATTGTTTCTCCTTCTCACCACAGTCTTTGACAGAAAGTTGATGTGCATTTGAAACATGTATCAATGAAACACCTTGGTAGTAAGAGGAAAATTCGAGCTAAAGGAACACTATGGGAACACACACTTAATACACCACTTTCACCTCCGGGTTAAAAATAAGGCCAGAGGTTCACAAACAGCTTGTATCAATGTAAAATCAGCTTTCGCATACACTTCAGTGTGTATTTAGGGGGAAAAAATCCAATTATTTCTACCAGATAGTCCCTAAAATACAGTTTAAGACAGTTAGGAGATTAAAGACACTGAAGTCTTTTCATATGCTATTGGCAGGTGGTGTTTTGGTTTTGTTTTGTTTTTTAATGTGCAGAAAAAGCCTCCAGCCAGCAAAGCATCCATGCAGCTGGAAAGGCAGCATTCTTCTAAGCTGGATTATGTGACAGTTGGTTACACCTATTTCTAACACTTGCCTCCCAGATAAAATGCAAATACAAAATCTCCCAATTACTTATGATCATTAAAGAAGCCATACAGTTTGGGGCTTCAGTAGTCTATTGGCTTGGAGTGTCTTGGCCAAAATCCAGCTTCAGTAAGAACATAGAGGTGCATCCTGTTATGCTTAAGCAGCATTCAGCAATATTAACTTGTTTTCATTTTCCTTCTTACATTTAGAGAAAATGATGTAAATCCTATATGTGTGAGCACTGTGGACAAAATTTTAGTGAAGTTCTACACATTTATGGAGAGATCCTCCTTCAGAAACCTTTCCATCAAATCTATAAAATACAAACAATAAATTCCTGAGTAACCCTACTTCACATCAATGATTAAAAATATAATCAGTTTTTAACACAGCAGAGGAACACAAGCTGGGAGACAGCTGTAGCTACTGCTGGTGGCCTCTGAATGCTCCCAAATGGGAGCAGGGATTACATTTATCACTAGGACAAATGAAAAAAAATGATTTATTGTTCTCACCTGCAGAGTTAGAAGCTACAGCTGTCAAAAACAGAAAGTGTAGCTTAGAATACCTCTGTGTGCATTTTAAATGCACTGAAGTTAGGGGAAATCTGCAAGAGACTGATTGTTCTTTGGTTTTTATTTAGAAACTATTATTATTCTTCTTAAAACAGCTTGGATTTGGTAAAGCAAAGAGACAAACAGAAGTATGAGAGCGGCAAGATATGAGAAACTTGTTAACTGAAAGGAGAGAAGCTTGAAGGAAGCATGAAGATAACAAGGTGATTAAGAAGCATGACAGAAGGGACCAGAGAACTAGGGAGAAGCAGAAAGCCAGGCACAAAGACAGGGGGAAAAAAAGCCACACAGAAAGCAGGTCAGGACCAGGAGTTCACAAGGCAACCAAAAGGTACAACATCTGAAAGAAAACCAGAGATGGAACATGATGCCCCATATAACGTTCACCCTACTGCTGAGCAGGGAGGAACCGCAGGGAATGTTCTCCTCACTAACCACTAGAAAATCTTCTCTCTCAGCAGGTGGGGTTTTCTCTGACAAAGCAAGAGCCTAAGTGACTGACCCACTCTTATTTATTAGCATCCTGACAGAGGGACACCCAGCACCTGCAACCTGGCCTAGCTAGACCCTGGGCACTGAATCACTTCTTCCTATGCTTCAATCACCACTGAAAGAGCAAATCACACTGTACCTGAACTCAATCCCACTAAAGCCAAGGAAAAGGCTGCTGCTTCAAATTACAATTAATAAAATCTGAAATGCACAAAGGAACACCAGATACCGTCTCAGACCCTGCCCTGAGCTATTATCCAGGTGATGGGACCTGCACCCCCTGACAGCTGCCTGCCCCACAGCACAGGTTGTGCTGCCTCTGCACGTCTCTTCAGGTGCTCCTGAAACCAAATGCACTTTAAACTCTTACCTGCACAAAAAAGAAGACATAAATGCTTTAAATTCATTTTGCTTTAAAGGAGAACTGCGGGGCATTTTATAATTAGCTGCTAACCCAGGGAGCCAATGCTGCTGTGTATCTAGACATTTTTATGAAATGGCTAACTAATCGGAAAAAGGATCAATGAGAATAAATCACTGTTTCCCTCTGGTGCAGGCTGACTTTCCTGATGCCCCAGGATTTATAGCAGCCTGAAGACCTGCATTAGCTACAGACCAAGCAACCTCAATGCCTAGCAGCTTTAAAGCTAAATTAAAGCATTCAGCATCACTTCAGCCACAGCAAAACATGTCTTTGGAGAACTCACTGGAGAAACAAGTAGTGGAATGATACTGGATAGGCAGAGACACACCCAGTTGAAAAAGGTTTCTAGGAATACTGTATTTATTACTGACAACTACTGCAATATGGCAAATGCTTCCTGCACACATAGTCCTTACTTACAAAGTTCAAATTCTATCTTCTCTGGTACAAAACACATAACCGATCATTAAAATTAAACACAAGAAGAACCAATGAGGGAAAGAAAATTGTTCTTTCAGATCACAGGTTTTATTGTGGTCATCTATTGCATTTTAACAGCATCAAAGTGAGTAAATCACTTCTACCAAAAAAATCCACAAAAATATACTTTGGGGTCTATAATGTTTCTTGGAAGTATTATTTGATTTTTATTCCTCTGTCAGCATGCATATCGCTTCACCAGCCTCCCTCCTATTTCCTTTCTCACTGGAAAAGAACACTTCCTGCCTTGCCCTAGAAAGTATGAAACCTTAGGAACAGAAAAGCTCATTTTTCCACTTCATCAGATGCTGCTCCTGTTTAAACTCATCTCAAGAAATACTGCCTGTGTTAGCGGTCTGCACACTCTTATTTTCCCATGCCAAGAAGTCAGCTAATAATGCCAAAGACAGAATTTCTTCCTGCTTCTGTCCAGTTCACGTGAAAGTCAGCTGTGGTTGTTGTATAAAATCACGTAGAAAAGCAGGGGGAAAAAGGGTGATGCCAACTTCAGTAAAAAGAATCTCTGTTCTCCTACGTAGCCCTTCGAGATTTAAAAAGGAAAAATGAAAAGAAGAAAAAAGCAGCTGTAGCAACATTATTTTAAATTGAAAGCGCAAATCAGATTCAGAATCCAATGTAGCACATAGCCCACCTGTGTCTAACATTAGAAGCTCTGGCCACTCAGTTTACTGCTTTTGCTAGGGACACTGCTCACAGGTGCCCACCGCTGGTCTGCTCTATCAGTACCAGCGCAGGCCTGCTCATATCCCAGCATCAGGTACCAGCACTGACAGCTCTCCTGATCAGCACTGCAGGTGGGATTTTGTTGGCAGAATTGAACTTCATACACCAGCACTGAAACCTGGCAGCAGGGGACTCGCAAACTTTGAACCACGTGTTGATTCACAAGAGTCAAAACCAAAGGACATAAAGAGCAGGGGAGTAGTTCAAAGCCACATCTGGCTGCCACTTGGAGAGATCAGCCTGGAGAAGGCACTCCAAAACACATACACATAGAGCGCAGATGGAAGCAGCAGCCAGTTTCATCTTGTAAAACCTCCTCTGGGGAATGCTGATCCCCAAAATGATACCGTGGATTATTTAGGCTTGCTGTGTGATCTTTAAAGTACCCAAAATTTGTATGCAGGCACACAGAGACTTGTTTAGTCACGCACTCAGTACATCCAGGTGTCCACAGTTCACTAGTTACTCCCTTCAGAGAAATGTGTTTATAATAAATGACAACTTCCCTTCCAGTAAGATTTACACCATATGATCTGTATTCAGTGGAGAAGAGCCAACAAGTGGGTTGAGTTACAGTTCCCTCCTTGGGGGAGGAGTGTGGTGGGGGAAATCACAACTTTTTACTTCGAACATTTAGACAACCTAGAAAATAGCCTGATCTGTTGTCCCTCTTTTCTCAAAACATGCAGCAAGCACCCCACAGTAGAGAAGTTCCAAGGAAAGGTTTCAAAGCTGTTGGTAGCAGCACGCCCCTCTGGGGACAAAATAGTGCTTAATTCTGTTAAAGATAGAAACTGCTGCTCTAAATATTCTGGAGGGTAACAGTTACATTTTACAGGACTACTGTGGAAATTTTTAAACAAGGCTTTTAACTTCCTCATTAAATTTCATGTTTGTTTTTTTTAGCACTGTCATTTCTGTGTCTGGTTGGTGTTTGGTTTTATTTTAAAACAAGGATTAAAGAAAAACCAGTTTGTAAACCTGGAAAACTTGTAATCGGACATAATAAGAGTCCAGAGAAGTCCAAATTTCTCAAGATCTAAAAGAAGCATCATTACCAACTCACAGCTCAGGTTTTGCACTGCTTTCTTATTTTAGCTATCAACATTTGCAGCTACTACAGTGTCAGAGAGCAGGAGACCCAACCCCTCTCCACAACTGACAGGATTAATTTGAGTAACTTATCAACTGGATGTTTTATATTCTTCAGAGATTGTGAATACTCTTTTTTTCTTGTAGGGACATTAAACTATTAGAAAAATCTTTTGCTAAACGTATTTGGCGAGATAACAAACCGTTATTAGAATTAGCTACATTATTGCAGCTAAAGACAAGGGAGATCTTTCCTCTCCCAAATTTATAGTTTTATAATTGACTATGTCAATTAAGATCTAGCCAAGATTTAGCAGGCAGTAGCTGAGGGTAATTACTGCAAAGTCATTGAGGTAAAGATTTGTGCCTTATTTTTCTAGTTGCTGAATTAATTTTATCTAGCCATTTTGTACAGCACCCATCCTCTTTATGCAACTTTGCTGCTTATTTGCAAGAAACTAGACTTTACATTAGCAGGCCAGAGGATTGTACTTTCATATCATGTGTTGTTAAAAATCCCTCCCCCCTTTTATTTACCTATGGGAAATCTGATTGTATTTTCCTTTTTGTACTCTTGTGATGTCATTTATGGTACCACACTTCCAAGCAGAAGATATATCTGTGTGTTACTAGATGGACACTTAAGTCTGGCATGGTATCAGACACAAGCTGTGTTGTAGCACATCTCACTGTGATTTGTGGTTTCTTTAGACATGTGACTCTTGGCCACATTACAGCAAGTTTTCACCAAAAAGAAGTGGATGGTGTTGCTAAGCCTCCATACCAACTCAGTATCAAGGTCTTACTGAAAGCTCTAAAGGGCTCTGTTGGTGGGAGACCTTCATTAAAACTACAAGAATTATTAAGTGTTGTAAGTTTAGTACTCACTGCTGCTTCTCCATAACACACACATAACACAGACACTCACCTTACCTAAATTTACCTAAAATTGATAGAAATTAAATCTGAAGGAACACATTGCTTATTAGCAACAAGTATTACATCTGCCAGCTTTCCCCAATAACTCACTCACCGGCACTGGAAAGATCCAGTATGATCTCCAAGTATGAGGCAAAACATGGGTTTATTTTTGCTGTTCAGAGCAGTAAGATTGTATTAGCTGTGTAACAGCCCAATATCATCACACAGCAAGGCAGTATGAAATATAGCAGAAGTATAGGGGCTGAAAGAAGGAAATCAATGGGTATTTAAAACACCATTTAGTTGATTTACCTGTGGCATGAAGCACTGTCGTTTAAAAATCTCTCATGGAGATGTCTCTTCTCCAAATAAATGGCTGTACTGAGGAGATTATTTACTAAAAGGCTTTTAAATGCTGCCATTAAAAGCAACACATTAAAATCAATTAAAAGGTTTTATAAAAACACCAATCTTCTCTCTCATTTCCTATGCTCTTGCCAGCATCGTTTCACCCTTTCCTACTCCTGCTAAAGCCAACAAGGTGCTTTTCCCCAATTGAAATAGCACAGAAGGAAGCATATTCTAGCTATTACAACAAAACCTTCCTCTAGGCATCACTCAGTTGTTCCCAGACAGCGAGGGGATGTGTGTGTGTGTCTGGGAGCACTTCCATTCAACTTCAGGGCTTTCCTGCATAACACAGGTTATACCTTGTGTATGTGTTGGGGAGGAAGTAGACTGAGTCTCATCAAGCAGCATTTGTCAAGGATTTTTGATTCCCCCCAAAACACATGAACAACCTATTAACTTAGGAGTGGAATGCATCCCATCTAACTTAAGCCATTAAAAAAGATGACTTCTCTGGTCACTTCTCACTCTTCCACAAAGAAGAGGGGAAGGCACATGTATTTATTTAAAAATGCTCTTAAAGACAGAGCTTAGAGTACATAAATTTAAAAAAAAAAAAAAATCACACTGGCATTTCATCCATGAAAATTATTCAGCTTTCAGTACTTTCCAGCTTACAGGTATAACTCATGTTCCTGATTGTGACAAGTCTCCTTCAGGTAGCTGAACTTGCTTAGGTGAAAACCACAACATTTTCACCAAGAAAAGGCTAGTAAAACTGATGGCTGCACCACAGCTGGCATCTTGAGATAGCAAATAAAATGGACCTTCCTTTATGCTTATTCTCCACCTTTTTTTGCTTTGGCTAATCTTGGGGAAACTAAAGTGTTCCTCCTCTCTTCCAGCTTGAAGATGTATACTCTACACAGCACTTTTATATCTACAACAGCAAAAAAAAGTCTACAGGCCTCCTCTATCCATCAGCAACATGAGGCTGAAGGTCAAAGCATCATGGATTCAGGCCCTACAACAGTGGAGGAAAAAAAGAAAGAACAAAAAGGGAAGAAAAAAAAAAGATGCAAACTCTGCATTATTTTTCTGCTTAGCACATGAAAAAGAAGCAGCCAGAGAAGTCTCGAAGGAATAAAATTTAAAATTCCATTTAAATCACAAACTAATTTAAGATTTCCACTTGTAAATCT